AAAACCCTAAAACCCTAAACCCTAAACCCTAAACCCTACATCTCGAAGCGACTAAACCCTAAACTCTGGACCCTGAACCTAGACCTAGACTCGAATTTCTCAACACATTGGGACCTAAGGATTCAGCGAATCGCATTAGTCGTCATCCGAGATCACAGTAAGTAGCACTAGGATTTGGGATTCGTGGGGCTGAGGGTGTAGGAGAACAGCAGGATTTGGGATTTGAAGGGTAACATATCTGCAATGGGAAGCTTCGTAACTGGGAAGTTTCGAGTCCGGCCCCTCGCCCTGAAGTCCCGAAACTCCCAAATCCTGTGAGTTCAGACTGAGGTGATGTGGTGCATCATCCCTCCACCAGCCGCCTCGAACGTCGAAGGCTGGGGAGATTAGGAATCGTCGTGCTTTTCTAGGAACAACCGCTAGAACCTATATTGAGGTCACATTTTCCTTATAGGACCTGTGAAGAGAACACCAATTAAGTTTCGGCTTGGGAACTTGGGATTCCCGGACAAAACAGAACTTATGGTCCACCGAGACTCCCACATGTATGCATCGTGGCGTTGTGTACATTCTTGTCTGGAGGCAGCATGATGAGTTCTGTGAGCTTGTTAAACCCTACAACACCCGAAAAGCGTCCAGTACTCCCTGTGCTTGCCCAGTTTGGCGGTCTGGACCATTTGTGAAATATGTACAGTGCAGGAACTGCACATATTTGCGACGAAAGAAGCAGGAATCGATGAGACGAAAGGCTATATCATGATAGATCTTAAACTCTAAACCTTTCCAGAAGGTCAAGCGTCCAAGTACCTAATAATCATATACTCTCCAAAATCCTAACCTACGTAACTACTATCCTAAAACCGAGTACCCAATTATTGGGTCCTTTGGACCCTTGGGGGAAGGTCTTCAGTCGCCCCAGGGCTCAGGGAACGGAGCGCTTGGTGGCAGTCTGACTATATGGGTCGTGGCGGCGTCAAACTACGATTTGGACCACTGGACCTGTTCAGGGTTTTAGGGTTTAGGGTTTTAGGTTAGGGTTTAGGGTTTAGGGGGGAGCTCCTGCCGCACAAGTTGTTCAATCGGCTGTCCCCTTTGCCCGAAAACGGCGTCGACCCGAGTAACCGGCCGGCCATAGCCAACGACAGGCAGATTCAAAATCAGTTTCCCTAAGGGTCCGTGTAACCACATAGTATATACTTTGGCCTTAAAGTACTCGCCATATAGGTACTTCAGGGCCAAAGTATATACTATTTGGGCACGCAGTGGAATGTGACCGATTTGGCAAACTGGACAGAGAGGACGCCGGGATCTGAACATTTTCACCACCAAAACGATGCCATGCTGACCATCTCAAAAGATCTCCAGGCCATTCGTCTACTCATACTGTCTAATTACACCTTGTCTACCCTCTAGCCTCCTTGGCACTACCAAACCCCTAAACATCCCTAAACCCTAAACGCTAAAAATCCCCAAACCCCAAACCCAAAGCATCCCTATACCCTATACGCCCTAAACCCTGACCATGCAGAGAAGGAGCCACTGCACTTCAACAAAACCCTAAACATCCCTTAACCTTCAACCCTACTTGGAGGATCATGGGAGTTAGTAAGTAAGGTTACAAGCAGTTAGAAGTAGAGTTAGCTTAATTATATCCCTAGTTACTACGTCCCATGATCCTGTAAGTATCCCCGAATCAAGAGCTTCGGCCTCGGTAAGTTCCAAGCCATTCATCCAGCGTTCAAGGCATTTAGATTGAAAATTTGTCTGAATCTCGAAACGGTTTAGGGTTCAGAGTTTAGGGATGTTTACTTTGACCCTGAATAACCTATATACCATTTTAGGGTTGGGTTCCTTATTATGATTTCCTTATCTCAGTCTTTCAAAAGGAAGGTTATTTCGGGGTTAAGGTAGAGTTTAGGGAAGTTGAGTGTTTAGAGTTTCCATGTTCTGCAAAGCCTTTGACCCTAAAGTCTTCCTGAGCCAGAAATCCGCAAGCTCCAGGCCGGCACCCTCAGAAATCCATCCAACCTTCCAAGTCTAAGACTGTAGCCTCAGTCCTTCAAACGAACTTTAAGTTGTCAAGGGCTTCCAAAGGTCAGAAACCCTAAACCCTTAAACCCCTAAACCCTTAAATCCCTAAACCCCTAAACCCTAAACCCCGAATGAAGTGCTGGGATTTGGGGAGCCTGGAGCCATCCGAAACCCTAAACTCCCTTGCGCGCCAGAACCTGAAACCCCTTCGGAAACCCTAGACCCTGAACCCTAAACCTCAAAACCTCCAAAACCTGATCCCTAAACTCAAACCCAGAGACTCCAATATCCCTCAAAGGGTTCCTTAAAGGACTGAGATCATGGCGTAGGAGAACCTCCAAAAAAAAACGAAGAGCCTGAACTCGCGATTCTGCTCCAGTCCGAGCGGAGAGCTTGTGGCAAGCATCGAGGGCGGCAGGGGCAAGGCGCTTCTTGCTGTTGGGTTTTCGGGTTGATCAGCGCAGTTACACATACACATTCGTACATATATATTTATATATATAGAGACATATATATATATATAGATATATTGATATTTGTGTTTTAGCGTTTAGGTATGTATGTATGTATGTATGTATATGTATATGTATATGTATATGTATATGTATATGTATATGTATATGTATATGTATATGTATATGTATATGTATATATGTATATATGTATATATGTATGTATGTATGTATGTATGTATGTATGTATGTATGTATGTATGTATGTATGTATGTATGTATGTATGTATGTATGTATGTAGTTATGTGTGGACACACACACACACATGTGCCGTGGGGCTTGGGCCGGCTGGGGCTGCAAGGTCGCAGGCAAGGTTTGTTTTTTGCCATTTGGGCATCATGAGCATTGAGGTGCGATATTATTACAACGCCTTCCGGGCCGATGCAGCAAGGCATCTGAAGAGATGCACTTGTCATTGCAGTTCACTGCGGGGCTTCCTGCTGATGACCGGGGGGGGGGCGGAGTTTCTTATTGCAGATATGATATCGTCGACCCACAACCCCATTCTGGCCCCTATATGGGTAGTTCCCTAAATCAGGGTCCCTGTTGGGATCCTTTTTGTAAGGGTGCCGTACTATTTTGGGGACCGACAAAGAAACCCTAATTTAGAGAACTACCCATATCAACCTGCTCTGAGCGAGTGTGTGGCAGGTCATCTCTTTCGAGGTACAGCCTTCCCCCGCGATTGCTTCTGCAACGGGGAATGGAGGGGTAGGGTTCAGGCTGAAGGTTAGGGTTAGGGTGTGGAGTGGTGTAGAGTGTAGGGTTCAGGGTTTAGAATTTGGGGGTTTGGGTTTGGGGCTTTACACGCGCTTAACTAAGGCTTAAGATTAAGGACGGGGCTGTCCTTCAGATTTCGGGTTGTTCTAGCTGCAGTATAGGAAACAGGCCTTAGCCATACACTATGTGCATTGGTGGCCTTTACGTAGCTATTAAAGGAATGCCTTGTAAGCCAACATATGAACAGTTCCATACCCTGCGGTTTCCCGGAGATTAGGGCGCAGGGTTTCGAGCCGAGTCGGAACCCGAATTCAGGCCATGTGTTGCCTTATCTTACCTTTGGTTAGTAGGGAATGGAAGAAAGGGAGTAATAGCAGTTATAATTGTACCCCATTCCTCCATTCCCTACTAACCCAAGGTAAGTGATTCCTGTCCCTGGACCGGCTCTCTGGGGTTTAGGGTGTGGCTTTAGGGTTTAGGCTTTGAGTCAGGGGTTTTGGGTTTAGGACTCAGGGTGTAGGCTTTACGGTTTAGGGGGTTAGTGTTTTAGGTTTTTCCCAAACAAAGCCCCAAGGCAGGTTTCACAACGACCTGCCTATAAAGCCCAGCCAGCAGTAGGTATAGGAATAGTTGGAAGCGCGCATTCTCAGGATTAGAGCCGCATGTAGTGTGATTTTCTGATTCCGGGCACAATATATGCTAAACCCTAACTCCTTATGTCAAGAAGGTATTTCTGGGGGTTGGGGGCTTTGGATTCCAGGTTGAGGTGTGATTCTTTTGAACGCAGTGGTCCGGGTATTAAGGTTTTGGGCTGCTAGGGTTTAGTGCTTGAGGTTTAAGGGCTTATGGGGTATAGCTTGTTTGTCTTTCGCCGGTGGGTACAGGGCGATGGGGCTGAGCCACTCGTGGTGCATTCAAGCGTCTATGTTTTCTGCAGCCGTTTGCTGCGGGCCTTTCCTGAGAGCCACACCCCGGTCGATCGCCATGGCGGCGCAGGCAGGGTATGTAGCATCTAGGGCCTGTTTCTGTCTTTCAGGAGAGCAGTGGGCAGGATAGGGCTAGGGTTTAAGGTTTGCGCTGAATACCTCAACCCTAATTAAATGTGGTCAAGGGAGGAAAATCTTCAACTAAACAAGGTCCTTGCCCTCTACTGCCCCAGGTTTAGCGTTTGGGCTTTAGGGTTTAGGGTTCTTTTGAGCGTCAAGAGTGGGTGTAGTCCTCTGGGTTTCGTAAAGGGTTCCACGCCTGGAACCTTGCCGAGGCCGAAAACGTCCCACAGGCCCCAAGAGGGGCCTCCCTGGACCCCCAAAGTATATGTAGAAGAATGGCCTTTTATAGGTATTGGGCCATTATTTTACCCCACTTTGGGGGTGTAGGTATAAACTCTGGACCCAGAGTCGCAGGAGTTTAGGGTTTGGGGTTGAGGGTAATCTGAGATGTTGGGCCCTCTGATGAAGTATTGTTTAGTGATGAGGGACCCGATGGGCCCCTGGTCCCAAGTAGCAGCGCCTTCTGATGCTCAACTTCGCGGATCGAAGCCTGAATACGGGGCCTTTACAAATACCCATGTTTTTTTGGGCGGTGTCCTCACTATAATTATAGTATACTACACCCCAAAACCCCTTTTTAATATTACGGCACCGATACTACCGTCTTGAAGCTTGCGCCAGGAATCCTAGATTTTGCGAGCATGTGCCAGTAGACTGAGCCTGTGAGCCCTCCAGGCAGATGACCCCATGGAGGTGGATCAGGAAGTCGAGGCAAGAGGGCTTAGAAGCTTATAAGGTTGCGTGTCGCAAGTACCATTGTTTAGGGTTTACCTGGACCCCCTAAGTATGGAATAATGGCCTTTTACAGGTATTGGGCCATTATTTTACTTACTTTAGCGGGTTTAGGTAGGGTTTATTACTTCTGTGATGGTTTCTGTACAATAATTTCATTAACTTTCTGCGTTGCTGTCGCCCGAAGCACGATTGGCCTGCTATGGCCACTTCTGCTGCCCTTCGCTATGCAGCTGGCATCTTTACGCCGACTCTTTGCCCCGTCACGCCTCCGCCGTCTGCGCAGTGACGTCTACTAAGACGGCTAAAGCTACGACTCCTGCCTAGTGCCAAGCCCATGATACGATACGACCCAACACAATGAGATACAACAACCAACAACATAATGCACCGTATCATGCACCACAAAACGGTTCTCAAACAAAACAGAAGCTGCTACTACTACTACTACTACTACTACTACTACTACTACTACTACTACTACTACTATTACTACTACTACTGCTACGACTATGACTCTCACCTTCAGCATTACCATATTTCTTGCCGTAGTGATCCTTAAACCCGCCACTCGAAAGTCTAGACTCTACACCCCAAGCCCCCGTATCAATCCTAGGTGCCACCCTGAGCATTCTGCCCTTATCTCAACACCGTCCCTCAACCCTAAACTCTGCACCTTGCTCCCACCTCTAGGCCCAGACCGTTCTTCCCTGACTCAGACTAAATTTCTTAGAATCAAACTCCTGCTTGAAATGCCATAACAGACGTGGGGTCTGGGGTTTAGGATTTAGCGGCTCCTCCACTCCCTGAACCGTCTTGACGCCCTAGTGGCTTGGTATCTTCGAAGGCCAGCGAAGCCGAGAAGAAGATGTTCGAAGATCTTCTAGAAAAGGCAGACAGCAAGTCCTTGCGTTTGTGGGGTTGTGGTTCAGGGGTTTAGGGCTCAGGGTTGAAGGGTGTAGGGCTTCCCGGTTTAGGGCCGTTGATGAGCTATATGTGGGGGTTTGGCTTTTCGTAGTGGAGCTAGTGTCCCATATCCTGTATCCAGCAGACGGCCACGCACAAGTTCAAGTCCCCAAACCCTACATCCAAAAGCTGCTCAGCCTACTCCCTACTGTAAGGATCATGAGACTTAGTAACTGGGGTTATAATCAGGGTAACTCTACTTATAACTATTTATAACCCCAGTTAACGTACTTATAACCTTACTTGCTAAGTCCCATGATCCTCCAAGTAAGCCCAGCCTAGAAGCTGGACGCCGTAATCCACCGACTTGTAGGTGATGATCAAGCTTGCGTTTGGGACCGGCTACAGGTGCGCTACTAGGAGGTTCCTGACATCAGTCTACAGTCTACTCCATACTCTGAATACAAAAGTGGCCTTAATTACCCACACAATTTTGGGCGTTCTGATAATTACAATATAATGGCCCCAAAACCCTATTCAATTCATTAAGGCCGCTGTATTACATGTATTTATGAAGTTCTTTGCTGCAGCTGCTGGTTGGACCCCGAAGTTCAAGAATCTGCTGTAAACCTCAAGCCTGAGACTGCGTCCTCAAACTTCATACCTTGCCCGAAACTGCGAACCCTAAACCCTTAAAGCCCAAAAAGGCACAAAACTCCCATGCCCGACACACCCCCAACAGACTTGTTTGCAGAGGCGCAGAGCTTTGAGGCCAGCGATGTGGCAAAGGCCAAAGAGGCCGCGATTGACAAAGCAGAGAGAACCTTCTTCCCCAAACCCTGCCGTTGTTCAGGGTTTGGGGTTTAGGGTTTAGGGTTTAGGGTTTAGGGTTTAGGTTTGGGGTTTAGAGTCTGGGTTGAGATGTTGGAGTTGACAGCTTCGGGAATTCGGGGTTTGGAGGTTTCGGGCTTAAGGTTCCGAGTGTTCGCGTCTGAAGTCTCAGGAACCGTGCGTTTCTTAGTACCAGAGTAGGTAACCTTTAACCTTTTTGGGGTGGGACGTGATCCTGAAGGTTCTGATAGAATACTGGACAGCGAAGCTTCAGTGGGGGTTTTTCATTGCTTCATAGCCACACGAAAAAGTAAAAAGACTGTTCAAGCCGTTGCTTAGGGCTTCGCAATGAGGTAAACATGCTCCTGCATGCTACCTACCTAGGTTGCTTAGGGTTTGGAGTTTAGAGTTTATTTATAGGAGGTTCAGGATCTGAAAGGCTCCTCCAGTATCATTATCCCCATTCCTCTTAGGAAAGAGAACCCGAAGTGGAGCAGATTGCTTTGGGAGTTCATGCTTGAGTGACTTACGGTTTCGAGGTGCGGGAATTCTCTATGAATATGTCGTGACTATACTTCATTAAGGTTTAATGTGGGTTGATCTGTTTCGGGCCTTTTATGAGCCAATGTAGTCGTCCTGGTGTTTAGCGCGACATGATTGCTTCATAGTCCTCGTATGTTCACTGCGACCACAACTCCGGTATCATGTTGTTCGCCCTGCGCAAGACCCGAAGCCTGCTGACATTGTTCGCACACACCCGCAACCCGTAATGCCTAGTCCTTCGCACCCCGAAACCCGAATGCCCTGAATCGTGAGCATATCATCGGCGGTTGAACCATTGAGGAATAGGAGTATCCCTTGTTGTTGCTACGTAGTTACATAGTTAACGCCCCTGCATTGTATGCAACATACCAAGGGTTTGCCGAGAAGGTCTCGTGTTTTTGGCCTAAGATGGGTGCAGCTTTCAGCTTCAATTTCCTGTTGCAGGGTCCTATAGGTTGTATACATATATATCTGTGTCTACAGTCTACATATGTATGTCTACGTGTCCATATGTGTCTTTTGTTTAGATATATGAGGTTCCATGTGTCGTTATAAGGTAGCAGTATAGGTTTATAGAGTCCTCACAGATTTCATGGGGGGGTCGGGGGGCTTGCTAACACTTACAGTAAGCCCTAAGTCCAAACCTCTCGTCCCTTAGTCAGAGTCCTGACCCTCGATGCCCCGAGCTTTATTATGAGCTTCAAAATCGTAACCCTGGATCCAAAGTCTAGACCCTGTAAACATCTTCGAGCCCGAAATCCTGAACCCCCAAACACAACACCGTTAAACTAGTCCTGAGACCTGAGATTCCCGAAGCAGGCCTACAAGGCCATCATCTTCAAACAGGACGTCGAGGCAACTGCCCGGCTTGCTTGTCGAGTCTTCAGAGGGGGGATCGGTACTTAAAGCTTAGCTTTATGGTAAAGCCTATATAAGGCTTAGGCCCTAGTCTTCAGGGCTTAGTTTTCCCGAACGACATAATAGGCCTCAACCCGATTGCGCATTCAGAGCATTCTCATATTGAGTACCTCGGGGTGCCGGGTTCAGGCTCCCGAAGGTAAAGTTTCAGGCCAACGGCTCGTGACCTTGTTGTTTTGTCACTGTTATTCATTAATTTTCACATATATATATACACACACCCACATACCTGTACACAAGAACATGTTTCTGCATATTTGGTTTTGTGCGCAGAACATGAAGCATGCTAGCTGAGTGTTTAGAGTTTGTCCAAAACCATGTCGAACCCAGGCACCTAACCGTTGGTTTTCCTGTTTTAATTATGTATCTTGGACTAGACTCCAAACCCTCTACCCCCAAGCTATCCCCATATTACCGAAAGAGCTTTGCAAGTCCTTAGACTCCTCAACTCTACATCTTCAGCCCTTTGAAATGAATCCCCGGAGCCGTCCTCTCCACTCTTTGATTTGCGAGGTCATCGGGTCCTGGGGTTTCAGAGGCTTTAAAATTAGGGTTTAGGGTGTAGGGTTTAGGGATTTGGCCTTCAGGATTGTAGGGTTTTAGATTAGTTTCGGCTTTCAGGAGCTGTTTTGCTTGGTTTCAAAGGTTTTACGTTTTGGGACTTGGGCCATAAGAGCTTCGCATGTTGGACGAGGAGCTCCGAGCTAAGTCCCAAACCCTAAGCCTAAGCTCTAATCGGCTCGCGCCGAAGACCGCAATGCCACACCCTAAACCCCTAAACCCCTGAACCCTAAACCCTAAACCCCTAAGCCCGAAACCGCACAGCCTCTGACTCCAAAGCCAGGAGGCCCTGCCCCTGCAAATCCTCAGCCCGGAAGCCCTCAACCTTGAATCACAGAACAATCCCGAAAAGTCCATGTACCCAAATACTATATATTTTGGGCCCAATGTACCCATATAGGGAGTACTTTAAGGCCAATGTATATACTACCTTAGGGAATGACGTCTTCACCCCAGGAGCCGAATGTAGGGGCCTGAATAAGACCAGAGTTTGGGGGTGTACTGTATCAGGCGGCCAGTATTCAGGATGGCCAAATGGCATTTGGCGCAGACATTGAGAAAGAAATCTCGAGCGTGTTTCGGCGGCTCAGTATGGGAGAAGTAGCAGACTCCATCCTGCCCCAACTCACCATTGATCAAAACCTCTGAACCCTGTGGCGAATTGTGCCACAATTCTGATGTTGGTTTGGGACCTCAGCCACATTGGCGTCAATTTCCAAGGGGAAGAAACGATGGGACGATGCCAAAAACTTGTGGAGAGATGGGAGGACTTGACCCAAGAGCAACTTCATGATCCTCTATATACATATTACGGCCTTCAAAGTCTACTTCCCTAAATGGTGCAGTTTATGAACACGTAGCCTTTTGAGTGAGAATGATCTGATTATCTAATTGTCATGTGGAACTACTTGGTGTGCTGAGTAATTCGTATGTGTATCTCTTCAGTGAAATAGTCCCTTAACATTTAGGTCGACGCAATTGCAAATGTTCAAGGCCCGTATACAAGCCAGATTGGTAGCTGCGGCTATCCTATTCCTGACGACTTCAAAGTAGTAATTGCTAATGTTGCAGGTTCCCTTAAGATGTTGCTAGAGCAGGAAACCCGCGCAACGAAATAAGTGCAATTGTTAAGCTTCCATGACTCCTGCGCCCCTGCATGACCGTTACAGAGACACACTTATCATAACCTGGAAAGAAAACAGTTAAACCCTAAGCCCTAAACCCGAAACCCTAAACTTTAAAACGTGAACCTTTACAGGAACCCTTTTCGCTTCGCGAAATATAAAAACCTCAGAAATTACCAATATTATGTTTTCCCTAGGGCTCCTTCGTAAAAGTATGCCCCAAACCCCTGTTGCGCTTAAGGGCACTAGATTAGGCTAGGCTTCCTTTCTAATCTGGAAACTGTCAGGATCCCAACGCTAAGTACAGGGAGAAGGCCATCTATGCCCGGGGCCCGGGTGGAGGGTTCCATTAGGGTTCCTTCAGGGTTCTGAACAGTTCTAGAAGGGACTTGTAGCGTTTTACATCGGAGTTTCCGACAATAAGGGACCGTAGTATAGTACCCTAAATGTTAGGGATTGTTAGGGTCCTTATTATAAGGACCCCAAAATAAGGTATCCCAAATTTCCGGAATTTCGTCGCAAAGTTTCAAACGGGTGGTGTGAAAGTATTGTCAGGACCTCCGAACGTACCTTTGAACAAGGTCTCATGTGTCCCTTAATATTTGTCAACAGGCACCTTCGGGGTCTACTAGAGACTGTGGGTTGGGTTTGTGAGATTTTAGTATCCTTTCGGACTCAATCTAGGCCCTGGCGAGGTGACGCTTGCGGAAATGCTCGGGAAGCATGAGGTTTCGGCTTTAGGCCACATGGGAGTGCTGGACTTGGGCATAATAATATTATGACTAGGACCCCAAACCTCTATTCATTATTCCAAAGCTGGCCTTTCATCTTGTTCTGATCGTAAGGCCAGATGTAGAGATTTGAATATTGGTAATACTATTCTTTAGGGTTCCTTCTTCTAACGCAAGCATAACCCTATTCTAGTGTTCAAGCCAGAATGCTCCACAATCGTGAACTTCTTCAAACTCTTATGACATCCCTGAGCGCACACCCCCTAAACCTAAAGCCCCAAACCCTACCCGCTTTTGTAAATAAAACGATATACCCGAAACCGCTTGAGTCCGAACAGCTTTCAAAGCCAAGGCAGTATAACCGAAAGTGAAAGTGATGGCTGCCGGTACCACTGTGAGCACTTGGTGAGCCTGGACGACCCAATTCCGGAACCGGAAGCTCTCAAACCCTACACCGCGGTCCGTTGAGGTTTCGTATTGTAGATATGCTATAACCTACCCCCCCAAACCCCTATCCAAAATTATGGCCCCTACATGAAACCCTCAAAGATCCAAGGGTAAAAGGAGGAACCCTTAGTAAGGACCCCTAGATATGTACCCTTAATATAGCTATTATATACCCATTACATAGCCCATTATAGGGTAGGGCTCCCCATTAAGGGTCCCTCCTCTTACCCTTTGATTCAAGCACACTTAAAAGACTAGCCCCTCAACCCTTAAAGGGAGCCTTAAAGGATTCCCGTAAAGGCTCCCTAAATAGGACTCCTTCAAGGAACCCTTGTGGCCCCTACATGAAAGCCCTCAAAGATTGAGGCCTTGGGCGACCTCCTCGTCGCCAAGAAGTTGCCCCAAGACATCTCCAGCTTGAGCAAGGCAGGTCGACAGTTCGGGGAAGAGTTGGGGGTCCAAGTCAGGAACGGTTTAGGGGTAGGGCCACGGTTTCGGGTTTTAGGTTCAGAGTTTAGGGAGAGCCCTACCATGTTGCTGTGTTTGAAAAGGGATTATGGGATATCCCAACCTTATGGATTTTGTTTATGTGCTTTTGGGGCAATAGGGGTCCGTGTGCCTGCAGAGTAGGCATATACATACATGTACATACCTACGTACATACATATGCGCACACACACACACACAAACACATACTTTGTTTTTTTGGTACTGGGTACCTTTTCGTCCAACCCCTTTCCAGGCCAGAGCACACACTATATCGTGGCGCATGCACTCTTTTTCTTTCCTTAGACAGACATCAGATATTGAAACTTAACCATGTATAGGGGTGCGGACTTCAACACTTCATGTGCCAGAGCTCCTTTGGGCCGCGGGAACAATTCCGAGGGCCTAGCATGGCGCATGTCGGTGTTTCTTCTGGCTCATAGCATAGCCTGTGCTGAGTCTGGATAGTGTTGCTAAGCTGCTTTTATACTGTTGATGGACAAGATCCTGCAAGAACCTTCAGGACCCTAAACTATGGGAATTATGCAAATTCCTTATAATGGGTAATGCAGGATTTTGTCCATCAGCCGTATTATCGTTCGAAGATCTCCTTGTTTTGGGGCCCTGTTTGCAGCTGTGCACACGGAACTCGGCAGTCTCAGCCAACGGGGCATTATACGCCTTTGACCCCTGTCTCAGATCCCCCCTCGGATTCTAGGCGCCCCAAACCATCAGAAGAACGAAGTAGGTACTTGGCATTCCGTGGTTGCTATACCCAGAACATCCCAGATCCGTAAAGCCTCTGTATTTGGGAGCCGAAGGACCTGCGCCCACTGTTCACGGAGCTGCCGAAGGCCACTTCGCACTTCCCCGAATCCCCTAAACCCAAGCGTCCCTAAACCCCCAAATCCTCAGTTCTGTCTGCACGAGTATGTGTCCTGCAAGGGTTTTTTTGCATCCGAGCAAGCGCTGGAAACGAGTGCAAGAAGAAGGCAAGAAGCTGAATAATCGAACAGACCGCTGAACTATTAGCTGACCATATCAAGAACACCAGTTATTAGGATGCACGAGCGTCATCGCCAGAGTAGCCGGGGCCATGATATGACGGCCGTCAGCGACAGCAGTCGTCATCACCATCATCATCATCATCATCATCATCATCATCATCATCATCATCGGCAACATCATCGTCGTCATCATCATGATCACCACCATCGCCCTCACTCATATCATTACTGCCATTGTCATCATCCTACAGACATGCCAGTAGTGAAAGGAAGGTTGTCCAGAAACTGCTGTAGTGATCGTATTCGGAGCTTTGTAGCACCCATGATGATGATTGCATGGCACGAGCAAGATGAATTTGATACATGACAGTAGTGATTTTTTGATAACTAGCTTTCTTTCGCAAAATGGGCCATACCTGGTTGCTTCATGCGTCCCATGTAGTTGTAAGCCCTTAGACTCTATTGGCTGGTTTCCTCGATGTGTATGTGTCAAGATTGATTCCGCGTGATCGCTCCGATGTGGATGGAGCCACGTGCAGAGGGATCTGCACAAAGTTCAGGTTTATGGTTTAGGATAGGGGGATACGAGTGGCTCTGCATTGCTGCAGATCCAGAATCGTTCAACACCGCCTGGCAGTACCACTCGAGCAGAAACCAGTTTTCGACCAGCTCGCAAGCATCCCTGTCCAAACTATCTTCGGGGTTTAGGGTTTAGGGCTTAGGGGGTTATAGTCATCATTGTCATGGTTACTATTTTTATTGCAACTGTTTTCGTTGTTTTTTATACGGTGGGCGGTTGTCTTCCCCTGAAGTGTTTTCGTCGAGGACGGCACAACTGTACGGCTATGCCTTGAACCTCTTTGCCCCGACTGTAGTGTGTTATACTTTGCCGGCAACTTGCACAAGCTAGTGCTGGTGTCGTCTGCGCTTTGAAAATGACACCTCGGCATCCCTGCGTTTCTAAACCTGGGCTGTCAAACCTCAAGGCCTAAACCATGGAACTCCAAGGCCTCTCCCTGCAGCGTCCCATGGGTTTAGGGTTTAGGGTCATGAGTTCTGAACCTAACAGTAGAAGCCAGAAAGTTGGAATATCATTATCGTAACCCCTTTAAGGTAAATTATAGCATATTCCAACTTTCTGGAGTTCCCTTTAAGGCCCTCGGTAACAAACCCTAAAGCTCGAAATCGTACTACCTGGACAGTTCTCGCCTCGTCTGACGAGGCAAAAACTGCAAAGATCGTGCGGCATCTCATTGACCTGCTGGCGAAGACGGAGAATTCTCAGGCTTCTCCTTGGGGATTAGGGTTTAGGCATGAGGGTTTAGGGTTTGTAGACGGGAAGTTTTCCAAATAAGGGTCCCTTTCAAGGTTCCCAAAACAGTGCGGCACCCTTATAAGAAGGACCCGAAAAGAGACCGTGATGTAGATAACTACCCATTGATATGTAGAGATTTGCTACTGCCCTGGACCGGGCTTTGCGGGTTGCAGTCGGGTATGTCCCGGTAGCCGTTTGAGGTTTGCGGCTGAGCCGTATTAAAATTGCAGGGAGTCGTTTTTTTTAGGATGCCTGCTCTTTTGGAATGAGAGCTTCGTTTATGCTGTAGGGTTTCCGAATATCAGGGTCTCATGGATGACTAGGTTATGTTTGGACTCGTGCCCCTGTACAGTGGCGATGGCTTTAACGAGAATTTGTGGCGCAAGCCCTCTCCGGTAAATGCTTGGGGGGTTTGTGGCAGCAGTCTTGAGTGCAGTTGCGGTGTAGGATGTTTTTTGGTAGATAGGGTATGTATGCATGTATGTCTGCAGGTGGGTCGGTCGGTCGGTCGGTTGTTATGCATGTGCTTTATGTATCCTTTCATCTATGTAAACTAACTTCACAAGTATGTAGTCCTCAAGCCATAGTGGCCACAAAACTCCCCGACTGTAACCCCCACAACCCCGCTACTAAACTACTAATGCCCGCAAACAACTAACGTCTTAATGTTGGGTGGAGTTGCACGACAATAGCATCGTGGTTTTGACTTCGCGTGGTTTGTATAGTATAAGCGCTTTATAACCTGGCCAGTATTCAACTTAGCTGTTGCGCCATCAAGTGCGTAGCATAAACAAGAGAATTAGGCCTGAATAAGCATTCGAACACTTCGTCAGTGCGTTGTGCTGACATGAAAGCAACTGTAACAATCTACATGTTCAGTGCCTTTTGCTTTCAAGCCACTTTGCAGTGCATAAGACCTTAGCTTCCGACATGTCGGGCGATGGCTATGCAAAGACATTTCCGATCGGTGTTGCCCTCCCCTCGAGCTTCGCAAAAATGGAGACGTTTGCGGTGACCGCCGAGAGGAAACACTGGGACACCTCCTTATGCCACAAGACAACACCGACAACAGAGAATTCGCGCCACTCGCTTGGATTTGGCAAAGCTTGCGGAAGAGAAGAAGTAAACGGCACCTTCTGTGAGTGACTTCCAAGGCGTGTGCGAGAAGAAGTTTGGATTGGTGGCGCAAGCATGAGCGCCAAGGTGAGCTTTCACGCCACCATTAAGGAGATTCTCAACGAAGAGCGAGAGCGAGAGATAGACAGACAGACGGACAGGCAGACAGACAGACAGACACAGAGGAAGAGCGAGATAGAGAGAGAGAGAGAGAAAAAAAAAAAGAGCGAGAGCGAGAGGGAGAGGGACCTAGCTAGTTACATGTTTCCCTCTCGGCCAGGCGCTGCAAATAGAGATGTGCAAGGACTGCATCGAATGGTGTAAAGGCCCGGCGTTGCCAGGATGTAGTCTGCAGGACCTACGGTTGATGATATAAACGGGATCTATAAGGGTACCTTTAAGGGGCTCCTTTAAGGGATCTATAGGGTTTTAATGTTTAGGGTTTAGGGATGTAAATCCTGCATTACCCATAATAAGGAATATACCATAATTCCCATAGTTTAGGGTCCTTAAGGTAATGCAGGATTAATATCATCAACCGTAGTCTAAGCTTTGCGGCCAAGGCCAGCATGGCCGCTGAATTAAGCGCGGCTTGAGTGTTGGAGACGACCCTTTTGAAGCAGCACTTTTAGGCACTCGCGGATTCAGGGGTCTAGTAATAGAGGGTGTTAAGGGTTTGGCCCAGGTGCCCTAGACTCCAAACCCAGAAGATTGCGAGCCCAAGCACTGAGCAAGTTCATCTTTCAATCGCCACTTTAGGGGCTTAAGTAATTACCATGAATACTATTGTGAGGGTTCCTTATTACAATCAGAGTATAGTGGGGCCCCCGAAACCCTATTCTAACTCATTAAAGCTCCTATATTAACCTGGCCCCAGGCAGAGACTCCTGAACCCCTTCATTAAGGTATCTAGTTCAATCTTACAAGGACTCCGATTGCAAATTCCTAAGGCAAATATACCAGCGAATCGAAGTTCCCTGATTCGAGGGTTTTTGTAGTCTCTAGGCACCTTGATCCGTCAACTTGCGCCGCTAATCCCTCGTTGGAGGGTTGCGTCCCTACAGAGGGCACCCGAATCTCTCTGGGCTAAACCGTACACCCAAAAAGCCCCAGCGTCGGAATGCCAACTGGCCAGGCGAGAAGCGAACTTTCCTGCCCTGGCCTCAAAGACTCTAAAGAAATGAACGACATTGACAAGATCTCATAATGAGCGATTCTACAGGGTTGTCGATAAGCGTTCATAAGGAAACTTCGGGGAGTGTTGCGTTGTCGTAGCCGGAGTTTTCCGGCTTGATGATGATGACCATGATATTGATGCCTTGTCATGACCGCTTTGTCTCTTGGTGCAGGGCGTAAGTGTGCCAACCGTCGCTTTTTGGAGGGTCGGGTGGGTTGCACCTCAGCTGGAGTTTGAAACTCAACCGAAATCCGGGTAGTTAGTTAAATGCCGACCGCTGCTGTCCTGGAGCGATCGTTTGGCTTGCATGTTGTGGGCTCGTACGTGTATTTGGGGTCGAAGAGTCCTTTCCACTGCCATAGTGCTTATACCATCTTATACCCTACCTGACCCCTAAGAAACCTTTTTAGGGTTCCTTAGTATGATTTCCTTGTATGTTAAGTCCATAGAAAGGTAGGTTATTTTGGGTAATAGACCCTCAACTGCACTCGACTAGATCCTAAACGCCCAATGTTATGGGCTGTATACAAAGTTTCTACTGCAGATGCCTTCGGGGGTCCTGGCCTGCGAGACATCAACCCTTAACACAAAACCGTTGAACAAACCTGTAATCTTTAAACCGTAACACCCCGAATCCTAAACCCTAACACCCCGAATGCTACACCCCCAGAACCCCTAAACCCCACACCTCAATCTCCAAACCCTGACGCCAAAGGCCCAAGCTGGATACCCCAAAGCTCGCATAGCAATAGGTTTAGGATTTTGGGTTTAGGGTTTTGGTAGCGCAAACAAGGCGCCACCGAGTCGAAACAAGATTGGCTGGGCTGTATTTGCCTGGGCCCTGGAGTGTCATGTTTGTGTCGGCAAATCTGCTTTGAAAGTGGTCTGAGGAACAAGGCTGGTTCCGAGCTTTATCACATTGGGTGGTTGTCAAAATTGTGGTGGAACCCTACATATTAGCTGCCGTGCTATATTAGGGACCCAAAAGGGGACCATAATTTTCACAACCACCCAATATTAATCTTTGGGGGCTGTGCTTTTTGGCCGTAAGTACATTTGGAATATGTTCTGGTTGGGGCTGCAATACTTGCTGTTTGCAATGTCATTCGTTTATCACCTACCTCTAGTCTCCACTGTAGCTCCTTTATGGGGTTACCTTATGGGATCCTTGGTATATAACTGGTTGAACCACCAAAAGGAACTACAATGGAGACTATCACCTACCCCAAGGGTCCAAGTACCTAATAATCATACACTCTCCAAAATCCTAACCTACATAGCTACTATCCTAAAACAGAGTACCCAACTATTGGGTCCTTTGGACCCTTGGGGCTACTGACCAAGTCCCCGACCCTCCACGCGGATTTTCGGCTCACGGAGCGGATTTGTCGCTAGGGTTTAGGGTTCAGGGTTTAGGGTTTAGGTTTTAGGGCAAGTCGGTCTCCGTTCCCAAAGGGTCCAGCTAGCGATATAGTAGCTACTTAGATATCTGGGCCCCAGAATGCTGTACTATCACTTGGGCCCTTTGGGATTGTAAAGAGTTTAGAATTCACGATTGTTGGTGCAGGTTTATGGTCTTACGTTGATCGAGGATCACGGACAGCCCTTTCCGTGACAAAGTTCAGAACACTTCAATGCAATACAGCCTTCCATGAGTAATGACAAGAATATTACCCGAACCCCTAAACCATAAACCTACATGGGCTCTGTGAACCTGTAGGCTCTCAACGCCTGGCCCCAAACCCACTAAGTTCCCATTCTCTCAAGTTCCAAAACCCCCAGCCGAAGTCCTGGCCCGTATGGACTGGAACGAGGTCAAAGTCATAGCCAGTGGCCCTGAACCCGAAACCGCAAACTCTAGACTCTACCTACACACCCTCGGTCACTTGCAAGCTTTTCTTATGAGCCGAGGGCAGAGCTGAAATACCAAGACTCTTTGGAGTTGCTGACGAGCTGCCGGCATGCTTTTGGTTTTTGCTATCGGGGCACTAACTGTTAGAACGGAATTCTGGGGGGTAGATCTTCAACTTCAGCAATGATAGGACCCCGAATAGGTTATTAAACGATTAGCATGATGCAGTTTTGGGTTCAGGCTACGGGTGGCTGGGGATGAAGGCACTTGTGAACGCCCGATGCATCCTCGCCAGCCAGCCTTGCACCGACAGGAACATGCCTCAAAAGCTCCACTGATGGCAGGAACCCTAAACCTCAACCCTGAATCCGCAAAATGCCCCCCCAAAGCCTCCACTGATTGCAGGAAGCTCCTATCCGAAGTCAAGAAGCTCGATGATAAGCTGCTGCTTGTTGAGTGCCTCCGACTACATTCAGTGTTAGAGAGTTTGGGTTTAGAGGTTGGGGTTCAAGGTGGATATCCATGCTATTTTGCCGCTGAATTTGTCCAGCATCGCTTCGAGCCACCGTTGTGTCCCAGCTGAGTACTTAAACCCCACTTGCAACTACCCTGCAAGCATGGACGCTCCTTGTTGGGGTGGGGTGGCTCGTCGAAGCTATGGTGTGTCCGATACTATAAACTGCTGTCAGAACCACAGGTACCAGAAATATATCGTGCCTCAGAACAGCACCCCAACTCTAAACCCGTCTCGAGGATCCACACTATCGAGTGTCGGGTCCACTACGCGGTGCAAAACATGCCGAAGGCTGGAAGCCTCCAGTCCGGGACATTCGGAAGCAGGGTTTAGGGTTTAGGGTTTAGGGTTTAGGATCAAGAGCTAAATAAGTCATTAGGGGGAGTGCTCCGGGCTCTATACAGTTTTTAAATTTGGGCGACTTACACCCTGCTGAGAAGCCGCAGAGTCCCCAAGCCTTGAATGAAGCCTGAACCACCGAGGCTCCTGGGGTGTTTGCCGTTTTTAGGGTTCAGGGGTTTATTTTAGGGGATAGGGTGTAGGGGTTCAGGGTAAAGGGTCTGTAGGGTTTTAGGGTTTCGGGTTTCATGTAATTAAACCTTCTGTAAGATCCTTATAGTCTTGCCACCCTGGTTCGGTATCCTTGCCACTGTCACACCTACTCGGGTCTGTGTTTGCCAGCATTCCTACACGGTCCCTGAAAGAAGAGCGCCTGTGAAACTAGAAGCGTTCCGCCTTTCAGGACCAGGGCTCAGCGTTCGAGCAATGAGGGCCAAGGAGTTGGGTTTAAGTACTAAGGCTAAGGTAGCTCGACTCCTCAGTGCGACATTTTCGCCCTCATTCACAGAGACTCCAAGAACCTTTCATAAAGGAATATTCCTTAAGTCATATTAGGGATCCTACTATAATTCAAGGTCTATTCCTGAAAAATTAAGGGATATTGGAGTCTCTGGGTTAAGCTTGTCTTTGCACTGTCTTCATGCACTTCCACAAAGCTCAATATCCCAAGCCCGTTGCCTGTTCGACTCACGAACGTTTTGCGGCTCCATTGGCCTTAACCTACCAAAACACACTTTTTGGTAGGGTCCCTATCAAATCCATTTTCCTTAAATGAAGGACCTTGAAAAAGTGGAGTTATGACAGAACGTCTAAGGCTCAGAGAGAGTCCATCGGACAATTTCCACCCCCCGATTGTTCCAACGGCTCCAGGCGAAAGCTGCCCTGACGGCTGCCAAGACAAATGCCATAGCCTCAATTTAGGGTTTAGGGTTTAGGGGGTGTCAATTCTTGGAGGATCATGGGACTTAGTAAGTAAGGTTATAAGTACCTTGATTGGGGTGATAAGTAGTTTTAAGTAGAGTTACCCTACTTCTAACCCTAGTTACTAGGTCCAATGATACTTTAAGCTGGCCTGCAAGGGTGGGATGAAGGTAGGTGGGGTCACCCCAAGTAGGAGTCCTTATTTCACGGATCCGAATCCTACCTACCTGCATCCCGCCTCCAGTAGCCTCGGCAGCTTGAACCCCAAACCCTACACCTTACTTAAAGGATCATGGGACTTAGTAAGTAGGGTTATAAACAAGTTAGCTATAGTTATATCTACTTACAACCCCAATTAAGGTACTTACATCCCTACTTACTAAGTCCCATGATCCTCTAAGTATAGGAACCCCCAAAAAGTTGGACACCGGATTACGGACAAATAGTGCTGGGATTCCTCTGAGACTACTCTTAAGGATTGAGGCTATTGGGTCTCCAACTTTTGGGCTTCTACTATAAGCCCTAAGCCCATCACGTAGCCGAGCACGCTGAGACCCAGCGCAGAGGCTTTGCAGCCGCCAGCTCTTTTAGGGGTCTTTGAAAGGCTCAGTGTAGGGACTAACGGACGAGTCGAGGGGATTCGGAGGACTTGAGGGGCAGGCTAAAGACGAACCTAGTAGTAGAGTAGACAACCTTTAACCTTTTTTGGGTAGTCTAGTCCCTATATAACCAAAAGGTTAACCACTTTAGTTTCCCATGATACCCGACAAGTAGGCTGATGTGAACGCCTGTTTCTAAATTCGCTCAGGGATTGCCACCATGAGGTCCGGAGCCTCTCGGGTGACGGAAGTCTGGTGGGATAGGTATGAAGGTTTACCTTAACCCTGGATAACCTACCTTTTTAGTGTTCCTTATTATCATTTCCTTATATAAGTCCCCAAAAAGGTAGGTTATTCGGGGTTAAGGTAGGGTTTAGGGTCTAGGGTTGCGAGAACTGATCCTGGACCGAGGTCGGCTCGGGGTCCCTCTTGTAGGACCAGGGTCACTGATTGAAGATGCTCTTCCCGCTGCGTCGCCTTCTGTGGGGAAAGAGCCACCGCTTTAGGCTTTAGGATTTAGCATTTAGGGTTTAGGCTCTAGCATTTAGGCTTTAGGATTTAGCGTTTAGGCTTTGGGATTTAGCATTTAGGCTTTGGGATTTAGCATTTAGGCTTTAGGATTCAGCATTTAGGGTTTAGGCTTAAGGTTTAGGGCTTTGCAGGAACCCTGCGGGGGGCAATCAGAATACCGTTCTGTCGAGTCTCAAGCCGAGACTCTGTGGTGAATCCTTAGCTTCGAAAGCCTCCCAGACCCGGTTTAGAGTTTAGGGTTTAGGGTTTAGGGGTTTGGGTTTAGGGTTTAGGGGTTTGGGTTTAGGGACACTCTGCCACTCCGTCGACTAGTGGAAGGCCAATGCCATCCACTGCCCGCCATTGCTGCAGGCTGGGGCAGAGCTTCCATGGTGTTATTGAGTCTTTAGGCTTCTGCACACGTGATGACTAGTACAACTACTTTGGCACCTATACAGATGACTGCCGATACCACTGCCATGAGCAATTTTGTTCGGTTGTTCTTCTGATCACAACTACGCAGTATTACTCTTTCTACTCGGAATTGTTTCTGAATTAGCCTCGTCAGTATGACTGTTCTTCTTCTTAGTATTGATGTTCTATAATCTCCAGCCTAATCCTAAGCCCAAAACCCTAAACCTCCAAACCCCTAAACCCCCAAACCCCAAAACCCCTAAAGCCCAAAACCACAGTTGGGGAGCGTTTAGGGTTTAAGGTTTAGGGTTTTAGGGTTTAGAGCCTCTGACCCCTTTAGCGGGTAGCACCCTTACCGTAAGCAGTCTTTGCATCCCCAACTAAACCCGAAAGTGTCAACCAATCCTCCGACTTGCCCAGAGACTCCAATATCCAATTAAGGAATACTCCTCAAAACATGTTCGGGATCCTACTATAATTTAAGGTATAATCCTTAATTAAAGGGATGATATTGGAGTCCCTGGGTGGTTTTTGCGACCCAAATTTCAAGTAGACCCGTGAACTCACCTAGGCCCTAAGCTGCAAAACGGAGTCTTTGGGGACGTTCCCACTGGTTCTTTCTAGGGAGGCATTTCTTAAGCCGCAAGCCGTATATTTCCGCTGTATGTTCGCGCTCACTCCAGACTGGACAGCAATCGATAATCATAGGGTTTAGGGTCGAGGGTTTTGGCTTTGTCTGCGGATCGCAGTTGGGTTCGCTAAGGGTTTTGCAGGGGCCGGCTAAGGGTCCTACACAGGTTCATCTTCAATAGACCCTTGACCCTGAAACGCCTCAACTTCCTGAAGGCCTAGTATAGGAACCTGGAGAATTACGCAATATCAGCTTTCCGGGCTCCCTATGACAATTCTTCCGTAGCATACCCAGAAACCCTGTTCCAATTATTGAGCCCGCTACATCAAAAGCCCTAAGGCGGGCAAGCTTTTTTCAATCCTGAGCTTGACTGTTGACCCCATGTAGCCGGATCTTTTCAGAAACGACATTTTTGGGTGGGTGCCCAAGTCTTCGAACCTGGCCGTTCAGGACTACCGTTGGTGTAATTAAGCAGGGATCCTTGCGACTTTCTCCTGACCATAAACATCGTAACCCTGACTGAACCTTCTATCCCGACCCAAAATCCTCCAAAGTCTTGAACCATGAATCCCAAAGTCTACACTTTGCTTCATCAACCCCAATTCCCTAATCCTGGAGGCATAAGCCATAATTTGCCGAAGGCTGATATCGACCTTCTGTCTGGCATTATCGCCGCAAGGGAGAAGGACAGACACCATATAGAGGGTTGGGGTTTGAGATGTTGTATTTATTGAGCTTTAGAGGCTTGAATGTTTGCTGGTGTTTCAGGGTGCTGCTTTTGATTGCGCAAGCATCAAGATTCAGGAATAGGTTCAGGGCGTCGGGATGAAATGTAAGAGAAAGACATGAACTGTCACAGGACCTCAACATTATAGCCTTAGAGATACCTTTTGTACACCCAGACAGAGCAGACCGTTGATCCTAAAACCCCTCAAATCCTCAATCCCTCACCCATATGAAACAACAAAAACACCTGCAAAAGATCATACGACGAGTTTATAACGATTCATACCAGTCTATAAATCCGTTAAACCCTAAAGCCTGGAACCCGAAACTCCTAAACCGACCAGGACTACAGGACTGCCTTTTCCTACTTCTACGAGGGCTTTGAGGCCTTCCACCAGTCCAATTCGACTGCCAAGGCCCGGGATTCATCAGCGGGAGTGTTATATAGGTTCGGCGAAGGGATGAGAAGGGTTTTTGAGACATAGGGTCTCGGATTCAGGACTTTATTAGTACCTTGTTTTGCCACTGTCGGTGCCTGGCATCGCTGCCTCTGAACCTACCAACCTCGAAATCCACCAACCTACCTAACCAACAAATATATGGGTCTAGTTAGAGTTCGTATGTGGCTCGCATGAGGTGTATGAACAGTCAATATGAGCACCAATGAGTGTAAACGCAAAAGCCATTCTGAACTTCCTTCAAAATTAAACCGTTCACCCTAATCCCTGATGGGTCTGATAAGCATAACTAAGCCCTAAATCCTAAACCCTAAACCTGAACAACAAGCCAGCCTCTGATTCTGCCCATAAGAGAGGTTCAAAACTGGGGATTGATGCAGACCTGGAAATATGCGGAATCAAAATCAAAGGCCCTGTAAGGGAGGCGCAATCTGGTATGTATAATGTATAAATTATGTATATATAATAAGTCGGGGATCAGAACCCTAAACCCCCCAAAAACCGAAACTTAAGCCCCCAAGGACTGCAAGACGTGTGTGCACTGTCTTGGGCTCAGCCCAAATCCTCGAATTCATTTTTCAAAAGATCCGACGACCCATGCGCAAGCATTTCTTCCGAATCCGCATGGCCGCCGATGTCTTGAGAAACCAGGCAGCCAGAATCCAAGACTAAACGAAGCCCAAGGCCTGCTAAAGCCTTCAAAAGCCTAATCCCTCTTAAGTAAGCCCTATAAGCTCTTATTCGTGATCTGAGAGGCCCGCAAAGGATTGAAGTACATGCTGCTCTCCAAGATCATGTCGAATCAGCCGAAGGCGGAAGAGTGAAAGTTACCGTCACGCGGGCTGAACACATAATAGTAACATCTTTTTACTAGAATATAACCCCAAACCCGACTTCCAAATATTCGGTCCCGCAAGTACGTGGTCGGCCATAGCGGAGCATTTGGGGTTCCTGCATTTTCATGAGCATAGGGTTGGGCTTTAGAGTTTTTAGGATTTCGGAGTGTTTCAGTTTAGCTGTGTAGTTAGGGGTGTAGAGGTACGGTGGAGAAGCGTCGGGTTATAGGGTGCAGAGTTTGGGTTTTGGGGTTTAGCCTTGAGGATGCGGCCGCCCCAGAATTTAAACGCCTTCGATCGTTTGGATCGACGTTAAAGATCGGCGTCGGGCTTGAATGCTTGAGATTCAATAATCGGTGAAGGCCTTGTCCCAAACCCCAACATGCCTCCAAACCCTAGCCCCTAAACTCTGGCTTATACCCTTTGAAAACTTTAGCCCTGAACATCATGAACCCCGAAACCCTCAAACACCTTAACCCTTAGCCTCTAAACCCCAACACGGCCCTTGGTTGAAGGTCTCGTTCTCTTCCTCTTGCCCCTCGCCGTGGTCCTCAACATCATCATCGTGATCATGATCATCATCATCATCAGGGTCATTATGATTTTCATGAACATGATCATCACCATCATCGTAAACAACATCAACAACATTAACATCATCTCGAGAAGGTTTGGTGTGCATTCCAAATGCTGGATCCCAAAAGAGGAATCCCCCGTTTAGGCTCTGTCGGGTTTAGGGCTTTAACAGTCGCTCCCATCTGCGACCACAGGAGACCAGCACCATCATCAGCAGCAAGTCAGGTCCCAACCTCGGTAGTGGATCCGAGGGCCCATGGGGTCGAACGCATCAATGATTAGGTACTTGGGCTATTAGGGTCGTAGTTGCGTAGGTCACTATTTGGGGGGGTAGATGATAATCAGGTACTTGGAGGTCGTAGTTACGTAGGTTACTATTTGGGGGGGGGGGGGGAGATGATAATCAGGTACTTGGACCTTTAGGGGAATCCCATATATCCCTTGCCAAGGTTCAGGGTTAAGGACTGGTGTCTGGTTATTAGATGCTATGGCTTCCCCTGTGACTGAATTCCACTGGATCGGCTCGCCAAAAATTCATCCAGAATCCTGAATAGTTCTTAATACCAGCGCTTAAGGTTCCTCTCATAATCATTGTAGAATATACCTCCAGTCCTGTTCTAACTATTAAGGTGCCTATGCTCTGTCTTCTAGCCTTGTACGGAGAGTGGGGTCTGCAGGGTCAACCCATAGGTGCCTTTCCGTTCGGGGCGCATAGTTCCTCAGCCTTTTTTTGCCACAGGGACCCAAGGGTAAAAAGAGGGACCCTTAATCAGGACCCCTAGGTATATACCCTTAATATAGCTATTATATACTCATTATACAGCCCATTATAGGGTAGGGGTCCCCATTAAGGATCCCTCCTTTTCCCCTTAGAAATTATGTAAGCTCCCTCGAAGACTCGGGACTTCCATATCTGCAGCCTGTTGAGTTTGCAGCACACCCGGACATCCTAAACTGCTGAATCAACCCCTGAACCCCCTTAACCCTAAAAACCCTCACCCCCTTAACCCCCTTGACCCTAAACCTCCTAAACCCATGCTCTAAAGCCCTTAACCCTAAACCCCTTAACTCCGCCACCTTAAACCTTAAACCCCTTAACCAACCCTAAACCCTAAACCGCCCGAAACTCCAAGCCAAACCCCTACACCATCTGCAGCGCAAGCGAGGTCTGCAGTATGTGGGTCCTGAGATTGATGCCATGGCTGCCGTCGCCAGCGCACATGAGGCCGAAGAAGTGCGGGAGAAAGGGGTCCCAAGATCCAGGGATGAGGGTGGCTGTAGGGTTTAGGGTGTAGGATTTAGGGTTTAGGATTGAGGGATTAGGTTCTAGGGTTGAGGGTTTGGGGTTTAGGGAGGGTTCAGGAAGACTTATGAGAGCTTAGGTTAACGCGAAGAGTCAATCCGAGACCTTGATAGGAACTCGACGCTGGGTTCTGGGCTTCTACGGTTGATGATATAATAAATCCTGCATGGGAAATGCAGGATTTATGACATCAACCGTAGTGTACTCGACAGCTGTGCGTAGAAAGCTGCAGTGCGCTGTTCTCTTCTCATAACCAATCCCGATACAAACTTGACGCCTCCATAAACTAGACTTGCCTTCGGCCAGCAATGAAAGGTGATGAAAACACAAGAAACGTGATATGCAGAGCAAGGAACCCGCTGTCAAACCTAGAACCCTAAACCCCAAGCAGCTACGCCGGCTCTTACTGGGGTTCAGCAGGATCTTACTTAAAGGGCTTCCCGAGCAGCAGAGACGCTGGTTCATAAGGCCCTTCAAAATCGTGGGAACACCAGCACAGTAGCTCCAGCCATCATCGCCGGCAGCAGCACATTCCTCAACAGCCACATCAGAACAAGTGCCGTGGTGAGCGCTGTATTGAATTCGCAGCAAAGGCCGCCATCATCGTCATCACCGATCCAGCCTTCAGTCATCAGCATGTCAGTGAAGATTATCACTAGGACCTAGAGTAGGCCCTTATTCCTTTTTGGGGGCTTATAGGCTCCCTTACAAGCCCCTTTAAACCAAAAGGGCGCCCTTTTATTCCTAGGTTACTCTTGGGTCTAGAAGATCATCATCGTCTTCACGGTCATTAGGGTCCTCGGAGCCTGCAGCCATTAACAGTACAACGTAGTTCGTGACGTGGAAGGTTTAAATCATCAGGGCACCCATGCCTTGACCCCCAAAGTGTAGAATAATGGCCTTTTATAGGTATTGGGCCATTATTTTATCTACTTTGGGGGTGGGGTTAGGTAAATGCTGTCAGATAAATACCAGGATCCTTCTCTTCAGCCCAGCATCTCAAGGGACCCTCTTTGGTGCGTATGCCAGGCCCGATCTCTCAAGAAATTCGAAGCAGTTCTCGAGCAGCACAAGCATCAGCTGTCCGAGGAACTGCTGTGCACAGTTTGCGTTCTTAGGGTTTAGGGTTTTGGGGTTTGAAATTTAGGGGTTTAGGGTTTAGGGTTTGGGGTTTTAGCAGACCGCTTCGATAGAGGGGTGGGGGGGGTTGTTGTTCATGGATTTGGGGAACAACAACCCCCATCCCCCCCCCCCCCCCCTTGTTGTTCCCGTTTTGAGAGAACAATAACCCCCCCCTGTTGTTCTTCCCCTTCGTTTCTTCGAACAACAACCCCCCCCCCCCCCCCCCCCCTTGTTGTAACCCCCCCCCCCAACCCCCCCTTCAACCCCCCCCCCCCCTGTGTTCAAACCCCTCCCCTGATTGTTTCTTCCCCTTCGAACAACCCCCCCCCCCTTGTTGTTCAACCTCCCCCCCCTTCCCCGCGCCTCCCCCACGCGGTTTTCCATGCCCCCCCCCTTGTTGTTCCCCTTTTGAAGGCAACCCCCCCCCCCCCCCCCCCCCCTTGTTGTTCCCCTTTTTGAAGGCCCCCCCTGTTGTTCCCCTTTTGAAGGAACAATAACCCCCCCCTTGTTGCTGCCCTTTTGAAGTAGTCGTAGTCGTAGTCGTAGTAGTAGTAGTAGTAGTAGTCGTAGTCGTAGTCGTAGTCGTAGTCGTAGTCGTAGTAGTAGTAGTAGTAGTAGTAGTAGTAGTAGTAGTAGTAGTAGTAGTAGTAGAGTAGAGTCCCGCTGTTGTTCAACCCCCCCCCCCTGTTGTTCAACCCCCCCCTGTTGTTCTTCGAACAACAACCCCCCTCCCCCCCACTGTTGTTCAACCCCCCCCCCCCCCCACCCCACCCCCCCCCCCCCTGTTGTTCCCACCCCCCCCCCCCCCCCCCCCGCTGTTGTTCAACCCCCCCCCGTTGTTCTTCGAACAACAAACCCCCCCCCCCCGTTGTTCTTCGAACAACAACCCCCCCCCGATTGTTGTTCAACCCCCCACCTCCCCCCCATTGTTGTTCAACCCCCCACCTCCCCCCATTTTGTTCAACCCCCCCCCCCCCCCCCATTGTTGTTCAACCCCCCCCCCCCCCCCCCCCCCTCCCCGCGCATCCGCCCACGGGGTGGGGGCGGTTGTTGTTCCCCAAATCCACGAGCAACAACCCCCCCCACCCCTCCCTATCGAAGCGGTCTCGGTTTTAGGGTTTTTTTGGTTTGGGATTTTGGCTCTTGGGGGGTTTCAGGATTTTTTAGGGTTTGGGGCCTGGCGTTTTGGTGACGCAGACCTCGAAACATTGAACCCCTCGCCTTAACCCTAAGAGTCCATGTTCCTTTAAGGGCACCATAAGGGTTCCTTTAAAGGGATCTATAAGGGTTTAGGATAAAAGGGTCCATGTACCCAAATAGTGTATACTTTGGGCCCAATGCACCTATATATAGGGAGTACTTTAACATTTAAGAATATACTATTTAGGCACATGGACCCTTAGGGTAAATTAGGATCATCCCGAGAGAGGTGGGAATTAACCCAGGGGTTTTCGGAGTTTGAAGGTGAGCCCTTTGAAGGATCTGTTAAGAGATCCTTTCAGGGTTCCTTTAAGGGTTCCTTTAAGGGATCCTGTAGCTGTAGAGGATCTGAGCATCGGAATTTGCAAAACGGACATCCTACCTGGCACTTCATATACATGTGGGTAAAACAGTGTGGTTCTCATGGGCTGCGTCTGTGAGATCCGTAACAGTTGCAACCACCTGTGGCAAAGCAACACCCCCCGCCTCCCCTCCACCAACCCCGCAGCCTTACGCTCCCTAAGCCCTGAAGCTGCAAACCCCAGACTGAGCCTGCACCTGACAGCTTCAAGCTTACCTATGGTTACTAGGGAATGGAAGAATGGTAGCAACAGTAGTTATAATTGTACCCCATTCCTCTATTCCCTACTAACTAAAGGTAAGCAAACGAAATCCTTCATCCAAGTCCGCACAGCTCCCCACAATCCGGCAAGGAATTTCACGACACCCGAAGCCCCCGGAGCCTTTCAATCACGCAAGGTCTATCTATGCAAGTACAGACACTCTTCTAAAGTCCGCAAGATTGACTCCCTAGTTTTGGTTCGTCGGAAACCCTCAACCCTAAACCCCAAACCCTGAACTTTAAATCCTCCCCACCTAGACCCCCGCCAAAACTAATCTCCCTCTATAGTACCCGAAATACCCACTATTCAGTACCATGAGAGCTCTATTAAAGGGCACTTGGGGTGTCCTTGGTAAACCCTGAGCTACGCCTCTGACGTCCTTCGACTCCACATCCTCATCGGAGGACCCTATCATTCAGTTCCACCTCTCAGATCTCAATGAGACGCTTCTGGAGCAGAACATCCTTAGGTGCGCATGGGATGCAAGGTGAGGGGTTGGCGGATTTGCGGGGTTCGTGGGCTAAGCCTTAGGCTAAGCCCTCCGCCGCACATCTGCAAGTACTTTGAAGGCAGCTTTAAGGGCCTATCCTAAAGAACCCCCAGGATCATATGATCGGGGACAAGCCCCGAACTGACCCCACAGCCCGAGACACTGACTGCGCCAAACGAGAACTCGTGGCGAACTAAGACTGCATTGTTGATTTTTGGAAGAGCAACAATGACTGTGAGTATCGATGCTTCAGGAGCACCGTAGTCAAGTGCCACAGCAAGAACAGAAATCGTGCTAGAGCAGCAGTTTGATGGATGGTGGTAAGGCTGACGCCATCATCGAGCACACATAGTTACACATGTTCAACCCTATAAGCCCCCTACATGAGCTCCTACTGCATCAAGAAACTCACTCCCTGAATTCAGGCCCAGTCTCTTCAAGGCGAAGACCTAAAGCTTCAATCAAACGTCAAACTCCAAACCTTAAAGCCGTAACCTTTAGAACGTTAAGCCGCAAAGCCTAAATTGCCAGGATACTGGAGCCGTTTAGCCGAGTCGAGAGCCTGGGTAGCAGCTGAAAGTATCTCTACAGGGGCTGTCGGCTTGGTTGTTCAGGGTTTAGAGTTGTTTTTTTTGTTTTAACTGTTGGGCGTTTAAGGCATGGGACTCAATTCGGTCACGTGCGTTCGTTCCGATTTCCCTCCCGCCCCTCCGCCCTATTCCTGAACGATGGGCATCACCGTAGGGCCAAATCCTGACATGTGGACCCTTACCCTAAGGCTCTAAGGACTCATATTTTAAAGCTTTTGGGCCTACCGACCATATTATACAAGGTTTTGGGGCCATTTTGAGCCTTAGGGTTACTCACGTCACATGATTCTACCTAGCACTGCCAAGGCGTCTGTCTCCGACAGCCTCGTTATTCCACCCACATCTCGTCGATCTTAAAAGCCTCAATTCATACCCGATGACCAGAGCACCGCTAAATGTCACATTAACCTCAGGCCCAATCAGCCAGAATCCTGAAGTGTGTCTCGCGAAAACCTCGCCCTAAGGGTCCATGTACTGTAACTACGGGTATCGTATATACGTTGACCTTGAAGACATGGGCAGAGTAAACAGTTGGAAGTGATACCTAGAGCCGAGAACACATCACGTTGTTAGAAGGACTGCTTTCAAGGTAGCTTTAGTCGACCACGTCTTAAGGGCATGCCGCCGCTGAGCCCTACAGAAACCTAAGCCATCAGTGCCAAACCCTGAACCCGAAACCCTAAACCTTAAACCCCAACTCTAAACCCTAAGCCGTCAGCCCTGACCCCAAGCCACGCTTACGACGCCCACATCCCTGAAATTCTCTGGCGCCCGGAAATCACACGAGCCGCCAACCAAGCCGAGGTTCTTGTCTATGTAGGGTTTGGGATTTTAGGGTTTAGAATTTAGGGTTTTTGGGCTCAGGGTTAGTGTTTAGGGTTTAAGGTTTTAGGGTTAGCGTTTAAGATTTAGGGTTTAGGATTTTCGGGATTGGGGGTTTGAAAACTGTATAGCCTTAGGCGCTCCGAAGCCCTAAGCCCTACATCCTAAACCCCAAAGCCCAATTGAGGATCAGCCATGTGGCCGAGCTCATCGAGCTCCCTTTGGCACGAACCCAGGACTGGGAATCCCAAGATCTGAATTAAAGAATACCTAGGGTCCTTTGAGGGATCCTTTTAGGGATCTATGGGGTTTAGGTTTCAGGGGACTGCCATATCTCTTTATTGGGGAATGAATATTCCTAAAAAAAATTCGGGATTCTACTATAGTTTAAGGGATATTGGAGTCTCTGGGAAGCCTGGGTGTACCGCTCCGGGGTCTCCTCCAAAAGCTACCAAAAAGTTCTGAACCCATTTAAAGCTTGGTTGACCCTAAAGTGTAGAGGGATCCCTTATGATTTGATGTTTTTTTCTGAGAGTTTTGGAGGCAATGCGCCAGGAGAGCTTTGTATGGCGCTTCATCGTGGGTGCAAACGTTAGGCTTGACTGGGCTTAGGGTTTGTGACTGTAGGGCATAGAAGTCGAGATTTGTAAGCCCTAACTTGCCCTAACATGTACACCACGAAACAGTACATGTGTTTTTGGCTTCGGGTTATTAGCGTTATCAGGGCTATTCGGGCTATGGATGGGGTTTTCGTCTTACGAGTTGCAGTGCAGAGTTTCAATCGATGACATTCGCCCTTGTCCTTGCGACGTCCTGGTGACGGTTGATACCTTTCGCCATCCTAGCGTTGCTGCTGGAAACTTCTTTGGCAAGGCGGTGATGGAGGTGTGCACGTGGCTTGCTCGGGATTAGGGTGTGTCTTGGCCTCTGATCCGCAAGAAAAGTGTTGAGTAGGCTATGGTGCTGAGGCTCCAGGGTTCAGGACTCAAAAGTCCTTAGTAGCTGCTCCCTTCCCTGCCCCGCCCCCCCCCCCCCCGTGTCAAAGAAGCACTTGAAAACCCTGGAAGCCAGTTAGGGTGTATCCGTGGATACGCCGCATGCCCTACACCGGTATCCCGGCCTCGAAGCCCGAGCCCACGGTCGTCACGTGTATAGTGTAGGGTCCCCCAAACCTCTAGTCTTTTTCAAAACACACTGAAAGAAGCCATCAAAACACACACACACGCACACACACACACACACACACACACACACACACACACACACACACACACACACACACACACACACACACACACACACACACACACACACACACCGCTCACAAAAAAAGGGGCACAAATCCGAAGCTTACATTTCCAACCAAACACGAAGATGCAAGAACCGGCTGGTGTAGAAAGCCCAAACGCCCTGAACCCTAAACCCCTATAAACCCTTAAAAGTCCCAAAAAATCAACCCTTAATCCTTAAAAACCCAAAGGCCTTAAACCAAAAACCCTTAAAAGCCCAAAGGCCCTAAACCCCTAACCCCTAAACCCTCACCCCTTAACCCTTAAGAACCCAAAGGCCCTACACCCCCAAAAGGCGAAGCTCAGTGAGATGATTCTGGACCAGAAGCTGAACGGCACCCTCGACCAAGGCCACCAAAACATAAACCCAGATGTTACGTTTAGGGTTTAGGGTTTAACCCAGATTTTACCACCTCGTCGTCTAGTAGGTAACCTTTAACGTTTTTTGGGTAGTAGAGTCCCTATATACTCCTTATATAACCAAAAAACTGAACCTTTAGTTCCCCATGCTACCCGACAAGTAGGACCAACACACCCCAACAGCTGCCCTTTACAAGAGCCTAGAGTAGAATCCAGAAACTTGGAACACATTATCCTAATGCCCTTAAGGTAAAGTATAGAGGATCCTAGCACCAGTCCTCGTAAACCTATGTTCCAACCTTCTTGGGTTCACTGTAAGTACCAGCTAGAAAGCGCCATAAGGCATTTATTTAAAGTACGGGTGCCGGCAGGGTTTAGGGTTTAGAGTTGCTTGTGGCGTTTATCTGGCTTTGAGGGTGAAGAGTTTAGGGTGTCGGGTGTCAGGTTCAGGGTTTAAGGGCAGGCCTCAGGGTTTTAAGGTGGTTGAAGATGGATTCAGGCTTAAAGCAAGCTGGGTCAGGTTTGTCCGGGTTTAATGTTTGAGATGGGTACAAGGCTCAAAAGGGGCTTTGAGGAGTCTTAAGAGGGTTGTAGCTGGAATGGGGGCTCTAAAGGGCAATGGGTGAGTGGAGCAAGTTTAAGAAGGGATTAAAACAAGCAAAGGATGCATCAAGATCCATCCCAAAACTTGCATTCACCGAAATGCCGTGAATCCTGCACACCCTAAAACCCCAAACCCTGAACTGCAGGGGTCTCCTTGCCATCGAAGCCTTCGTCGTATTCGTGTGCCCAACCACCCAATCCTGCCAACAACAGCACCCAGCACTGAGCCCTGAACCTTCAGTGATGTTTTCAGTAGGCACAGTAGTCACAGTCACGGTAGTCCGTAGTACTGTGATTGTTGATGGCTCCTTGCTAATCATCCTGCAATATAACCCAAAGCCCTATTCTATTTCTGCAAGCATTCACACTACATGATAAGTATGGAGTTCACCTAAACCCTAAACTTAGGCCCTAAACGACAAGCGGGAGGTGTTGGTGTTCTTATCGTCTACGACGAGGAGCAGGCAGTTTGAATGGTGAAGAAGCGTCCTATAAAGGGTTCTGTAAGGGTATCATAGTGCGATAGGCGATCGTTGATGGTGACTCCTCTCCGAACACCATCTCGAAAACACGTTTAGGGCCCAGGGCTCAGGGTTTCGACTCTAGGGTTTGAGGTTTAGGGTTTCACGGACACATCGGGGAATAGAAGGCCCAAATCCTTTCCCCCGTGAAGCCTCACAGCCGTTAATTAGTTAAGGCATATGCCTTTAATTGCCCCCCACATCCAGGTTTAGGGTATGATCTTCGATAAAGGGCTTCCGTAGTGCGTTTTTGCCCTCGGCCGTCGGTGTTTGCCCCAAAGGCGGGCGGCCGAGGGTCCTGATTGCAAGAGTGCCTATGGCCCACTCTTCGGGCACTGTACCTAAACCTCCCCAAAGTAGGTACAATATTATTTTAATACCAATAAAAGGACATTATTCTACATACTTTGGGGTCAAGGTAAGCCCTGAATCCTAATGCGGAAGTTCGGCTACTTGTCAGAGTCTCCAAAGGCTCAAGAGGATGTCTTGGTCCGGACTCACTAGTGCTGCTTCATTAAGGGTTCTGGGAGGCTCTGAATGGCTGAGAGTCGTGGCGCCCTTAGGTCCTCTTCGGAATTCCCAGAAGATACGAAGCCCTTTTGGGTCTAATTTCTTACCCTTGGTTAGTAGAGAATAGAAGAATGGTAGTAACAGTAGTTATACTTGTACCCCATTCCTCCATTCCCTACTAACCAAAGGTAAGATTTCTGAACCCTTAACGCCAGCCCTGAACTCCCTGCGACGCCCACCTTTACAGTATCGTATCCTCCTCTTCTTTAGATCATCATGCCCAGACCGGTAGGTTCCGTAGAGTTTGGGTAGACCTGACAGATTCAGGTCAGCTCCACGTACGAGAACTCACTGAAGACGATCAAGAACACGGCAGAGGCCATTTCCGTTGGCTGATCTACTGATCTTGCTTCACATTATCTCTTGGTTTAGGGTTTTGGGTTGTGTTGTTGCGTGTTTGTGCTGGTCTCTGGCTGAGTGGTCTTGTGGCTTTTACTTTCTTGGACTATTCTTGGGATGATTGCCACAGGTTTAGATTTTCAGTGTCCGCCATTGTAGGACTAGGGCTTAATGCCCTCCGAGTTGGCGGCCTGCCGTTGCAGATGTTTTAATCCATTTGGCTTCATCTGGTGTCGACCAAAAACCCGACGCCCAACTCAGCTTGGCAGCGGCGGATTTACAAAATACATCGTGCTCCATGCTCTCATCACGGTCACCGAGGAATGTAACTCCAGACTCGAAGTGCGCCAGTCCTACTGTAACCCACATAATGCTCGCTCGGTAAGCCGTGTCCTATGTTTAGGCTTCTTTTCGGGTTGATGGTTCCCAACACCTGTAGATGAAGACTACTTGGACCCTGAAGTAAGCCCTGGATTGACAGGGTGTAAGGCGAGGAGTCCTACTAGTCTTCGCACTAGAAAAGGGCCCGTGGGCATGCACACTCTCGCTGTGTGTGTGTGTGTGTGTGTGTGTGTGTGTGTGTGTGTGTGTGTGTGTGTGTGTGTGTGTGTGTGTGTGTGTGTGTGTGTGTGTGTGTGTGTGTGTGTGGGTGGGTGCGTGCGTGCGTGCGTGCGTGCGTGCGTGCGTGCGTGCGTGCGTGCGTGCGCGCGCGCGCGCGCGCGTGCGCGCGCGCGCGCCTGTGTGTGTGTGTGTGTTTGAGCAAAAGTGTGTGCATACATTATGCGTGCATTCATGTAGTCATCCATGCATTGTCTAAGTTGTTGTTCCTTTACTTGTACTTAAGGGTTACATGCAAGCCAGTAAGTATACATAATAGCATGCATGTATGCATATATGTATGCATCTGTATTATACATACACATAACATTTATTTGTGTGTGTGTGTTATATCTCAGACAGACACACATACTCCACATTAATGGCCAGCATTCAGACATACACTCATACTCCATCTGGGCTGGGGAGACTAAGCATTCTACTCCTAAACCCTAAACCTACTCTGTCGAGACTTGGTTATCCTGGGTTCTATGTCTCCGGGAGGTCTTGGACACGCTCTACACTCAAGCGAAGCAGCTTGCATAGAGGACGCGAGTTGGCATGAGTTCCTGGCCCTGGCAGCCTGTACCTGACGTTACCTTCATATCCTATACCCTGAAACCCTAGACACTCCATACCTTCCGCGAACCCCCCGACCCTGAATTTAGTTGGCCGGTAACCTGCAACCGAAACCCTTGCGATTTCGAGTGCAGGATATGTTTGGTTGAGGATGGCATGTATGTATGTATGTATGTATGTATGGCTTCAGATTAAATTCGATCACCAAAGTACCCCAGTGCCCGAAACACATCCGCCATTTTTCGGCCGGTTGAATATTGGTTGGGTTCTGGGCTCATCGGCACAGGGGAACATGGTTGGATACTTGCACGAAGATAGCACCAATGCGAACAAAACGGAAACCACATTTCTAAACGAGGATTCCAACAAAAGGCTGGATAACCTTAGACTCGGGCTCAGAGCTCAAACCTGCGTGGCTTTGTACTTCGGCGTTTTGGTGTAGGGTTGCAAAGAGCTTGGGGTCGAGGGTTTAGGTGTCCGGTGATCTAGACCCTACGGCCTGCAACTTGAAGAATGAATTCTCGGGTTGATGTTCACCACGACAGTAGGGATGACGATGACGATCACCAATGATTCCTACAGGACCTCAATACCAAGAGTGGCAACGCACCTCTGTACTCCTGCCAATGGTAGAACAGACGGATGTTCAGATAAGGCCCTACCCATGGACTAAGAAGCTAAGACTAAACCCCTAAATCCTAACTTTTTGGAAAACCGAAGCCCAAAATGCTAAAGCCCACATGGTACCCTAATTAAACCCTTGTGGAGCCTCCGTAGAATCTACATACACGGATCCGGCTACGCGGGTTTCTACACTTTCTGCCCACAAGTATTTCCATGAGGTTCCGACAATGTTCCAGCAAGAGCAGCTGCAAGGATTTCTAGGGAAAAAGCATTGTGGGGTTATAGTTTGGGTTGGGGTCTCTGCTTTTTGTGTGTTGGAGATTTTCGGGAATGTTCACAATTGAGGATTCCAGTTCAAAGCCCCGGAGCCTACGGTGTATAAGGAACTCCAGAAAGTTGGAATATGGAATAATGGCAGGATCCCCTATAACTTACCTTAAAGGAGTTACGATAATCATATTCCAACTTTCTGGCTTCTACTGTAGCGGGTTCGCACATGACAGGTTGCCCGGAGCCCTTAAACCCGACCCGAAAACCCTAGCGCCCAAGGCTCTGAGCCCGAATCCCTGAACACGTTAGACCATGACCCCTCGGACTCTATATCCTCGCACCCTGAACCCTAACCTACAGGGAACTCCAGAAAGTTGGAATATGGTTTCATGGTAGGATACCCTATAGTTTACCATACAAGGGTTAGGATAATCATATTCCAACTTTCTGGCTTTTACTTTAAAGCCGTGAAAGCCTCGATTCTTGGGATTTTCCCTGGCTTTCACAGGAGCTACGCATGTGGCAGTACAGCGATGGCTGGGAGAAACCCTGGCGCCGGCATACATCAGATAGCTGTAAAAAGTAACTGGTCGCTCCTTAGCAGCCCAGTCACCTGTATTTTCCGTTGCCAGCTTACGGTAAATAAATAAATAAATACATATACAAATAGAACTGTATATAGACACATACATATACATATATATACATATATTTCGTTACTTAGAAGTGTCTATTCTTACAGCATCTCCAAGACAATAACCTAGTGTATGGGCAACTGGGCTTCTGTGGCAAGTTCGACTGTTTTGGGGCTTTGTGGAACTTTCTGGTTCGATAGAAACAGATGAGGGGAATGGGTTAAAGGGAAAACTAGGTTGCCAGGGCCGGGGCGCAGACATGGGGCAGAGGAGTAAGGTTTGGGGTGTATGTGGCTGTTGGGCTTACGGTGTGGATGGACAAAACTATACAAAATTGAACAACTTGGGTCCACTGAAGCATACCGGTTATACTCATCTGATTCAAACTGTCGCCGCAAAGCATTTCTGTTGCCCCTACACCCTAGTATCGACCCTCTCCCCAGAGGTAGTTGTGTTCAAACTTTGAGCCGACCACAAGCCTGAAGTCCTGTGCTTTGCCAAAGACGCGCAGGTCGACGGAGGAGGGAGACCCTTCGGTTTAGTGTTTAGGGTTTAGGGTTTAGGGATTTTCAAAAGCCCAAACCCCTTAAACGCCGCACCCCGAACAGGAACGGTTCCGTCTGGACACGGCCGAATAAACGGACCCATGAACACCAGTAGTCCGAAAAGGCTGGAACCCGACACCCTAGAATTCTGAGCTTTTACCGTCGATCCTGGTATACGATATATCTGTTCCTGTAAATTCTGAAGCCCGGGTACCTGAACCCGATGCTGTCGTGAAACAGACTGGCTCAAGCATAGCGCCCTCCTTTTGTGGCACTGGTGAGGTGCAGGTACCGCGCCTCAGCACCGTTTTTAGATTGTGGTGATAGGCAGACGCTAAGCTCCGGGTATCGGGCTCTAAGAATCCATGCTTCAGTTGTGTTTTCCAAGGGCCACAGAGAAAGCCCTAAAGCCTATACCCCAAACGCTAAACTCTAGCCTACACCACAAACCCTTAGCATGAAGATCCTTAACGACCCTAACCACCGAACCGCAAGCCCTGAACAATAAGAGCCTTGTGGAATCAAATTGAACGCAGGTCGTGAGCGCAAGGTTTCTTTGGCCTTTTGTATATGCTTTTCGGGATCTACTAACAGTCAAGATTCTACAATACGGGTTCTTTTCATGGGATGCTATTTGGCTTTGGTATACGACGAACACCAGCAAGTTGGAACATGGGTTAAGGATAATTAGAGCTAGATTTCTGAAAGCCTGAAGGGCTTGAGGATAATAATGTTCCAGCCGGCTTCTACTGTATGCCTCTAGGATGGACGAGGGTACTGAGCTTACGACGAAGGGTACGCGGGGTACTGAAAGCCTCCTTAATTCAAGTACTCCACCGATCTATACACCGACCTGCAAGGCTAGAGGGACCAGCATCCTGATTTGGAGTATATTCCTTACTGAGGGGCTTTTTGCTTTCTCCGGGTCAGAAGCATTCCTGATTCCGGCAGATCCCAAGTAGAGAATGCTTCCGCTTAAGTTCGTGAAGCCGAACACTAGTGGAGCATGTAGAATCCAGCGTTTGCTACGGCTTTGGTGTTAAGGTTGTTCAAGAGTTTCTGGGGCTCTTCTGATGTTGCAAGCTAAAGCAATCAAGTCATTTAGGTATCGAGGTAGCAAGTTTTACGTGCCACTAATCCCTCGCCTTGAGACGTTGGACCCAGACCAACCAAAACTGCAGCAACCACATTAACCCTAAGGGTCCAAGTACCCAAATAGTAGGGTTTCAGGGTCCACAAACCCAGCCAGAGTATGGATTTTGGGACCTAAGACCCTACTATTTGGGTACTTGGACCCTCTGGGTAAGAAACACCCAAACCCTAAACTCTGTAACCCCTTAAGCCGAAACCAGCTACTAACCCTACAGGCCCTCAGCCCTGAACCAGTCAGAACACTAAATGGCCCTATAAACCTCAACCCTGCACCCCAATTAAGCCCTAAACCCTGCACCCTAATTCAGCTCTAAACCCTACTTGGAGGATCATGGGACTTAGTAAGTAAGGTTATAAGTACCTTAATTCGGGTTATAAGTAGGTATAAGTAGGGTTACCGTAAATATAGCCTTAGTTACTAGGTCCCATGATCCTTTAAGTAGACCCCGAGGTCTCCCCACGATGTCCTCTTCGAACTCCGGCTATGAGAACTTCCTGACGGCGATGCAGGGGGCACAGGATCGCCATGCCGTGGCCCCAGCGGGTTGGCCGCCGTCTCTTTACAAAGGGTTTCGGGTTTGGGGGTTTAGGGGTTTAGGGGTTTAGGGTTTAGGGTTTCGGGTTTAGGGTTTCGGGTTCAGGGTTCGGGGCTTGGGGTTTAGGGTTCATGCAGGGTTTAGAGTTTAGGAGTGAGGGTTTTGGGTTTAAGTTTTGGCTCATTCGAACAGTCGTACTTATTCCCATGTTACTGCTCTTTTGCTAATGCTCTTAAAACAACAATATGCCTGAATTCCTTGCAGGATCGTGCAGTCGAACACGATTTTGTGGCGCTCTTGCTTTCTAAATAGAACATGCTAACCCTGAAACAGGAATCTACCCAAGACGTCATTCTAACTCGTCTGGGTTTAGATTTTGTTGTTCACACGGTTTTATGCTTGAGGTTAGTTTTTTGGGGTTTAGGGTCTCGGCGTGTGGGTTGAGGGCTCATGCTCGTTTGTTGACACGTTTTGGGTTTCAGGCTTAGGGGATTTAGGTTTGAGGGTGTTTCGTGAAGGGTGGAATTAAGGCTTCAGGACATATGTTTGAAGGCTTTGGTTCAATGCAATAGAGTTTTCGATGCCTTGGTATATTCGAAGACGCCGGCTGTGCGCGCAGTAGGTTTTCTGACCCTGATACACCATATCCATGTCTGTACACTGTATCCTTTCTTGAAGGGATGGGAGCTTGCGCCTCAACCCCTGTAAAACACCTGCAAGCCTCAACGCCACGACAAGGCAGCCACCTATTACTGCTTCGGCACTGTGGGCGGCTGAGACTGCTTCCTTCTCGGATCAAGACAGAGCGCATTGTTCCGTTTTGGGGGGTTCAGGATTTACCACGCCAAGTTTCTTTTCGGGGCCTATAGCAGGCGTGCAGTATAAAGGCCTACAAAACGGGAGGTTTATCTCGCACAACCTGCGTCAGAGGATTTAGTTGCAGCTATACCTAGACTCTACATCGTACCCTCTGATCCTCCTGGCGCATACCTTAAACCCTAAACCCCAAACCCGAAACCTTAAGCCTTAAACCCTATACACCCTAAACCCGAAGCTCAGGACGAGAAGGACAAGATCATCAACCCGGCGGAAACGTTCAATCAGCTGGGGCCTGATGCTGTCGTCCTCGGGTTCAGGGTTCAGGGTTTAAGGTGTAGGGCTTGGAGTTTAGGGCGTCGGGCTTAGGGTGTAGGCACGGTGTAGGG